GAACCAAATTTCAAGCTCAGTCTTCTAGAGGTCCCTGTGGTCTGCAAATTTGGGGTCTTTTGTCTCCTGAAGAGGCAGGACAGGACAGGGGTTAAGGACATGTGTTCCAAAATCAAACTGGGTCCAAATGCTGGCTCTACCATTTCCAACTTACATGACTCTGGGCATGATATTTAATCTCTCTGTCTCTGTTCCCTATACCTCAAAATGAAGATAATAATAGCACCTATCTTACAGGGCTCTTTTAAGGATTAAACGAAATAGTGTACATAAATTCCTTTGCACACAAGAACTCAATAAAAATGAGCTGTAATTATTAAGCCTCAGTCTTGTCTCTCTAAGTTTATTTACAGTTTCCTTGGTCTCATTCTCTATCCTTATTGATGTTTTAACATTGTTTTATGGATCTTGCTCTTGTGGTAAGCTATCTCAAACCCTTTGTGGATTGGGGTAGGTTATAAATAAGTAAGAAAATAAATAAAAATCTAGATAGAGGAACATTTTCACTGAAGCAAAACATTTCATTACAATAGCATGAATTGCAAGTGAAGCCAAAGGCAAAAGATATTGATTCTAATCCCTAACTGTCCATCAACAGCCACCAGCAAGACACTCTGCTTACCAGACCACCTTTGTCTTTCCCAAACCCCTCTCCCTCTTGCCATCGATAGAGGGTAAATGATTCACACAACATGGCCCAATAAGCCTAAATCCCCCCAACCTCAGAATTACTTCATTGCCATGGGCTTCAGAGAATTCTCCTTCTTCCCCATCAGAGAAGAGAAAGGAACTCAATGAGGTTGCTTTCCATGGTGACAGGGTTCAGGAACCAGCTGCTGCCTCAGTGCACAGGCAAACATAAGTTAGAATTTCATTATGGCCATTAATTAGTGAGCAATGTGGCCATGGAAGTCCCTGGACCTCTCTGGTCCCCAGTTGTCTTGTCAGTAATAACAGTACCTCCCTCCAAAGGTGCCTGTGCAGATGAAAGAACAGAATGGAGAAAAGCAATATGGATAGTTTATTGGTAAAGTTCTCAATCAATGTTAGACTTCCCTTCCTTTCCTGCACCCCAGGGCAACACTCAGTGGACTATGGGAATAGGAAACTCTTCAAGAAGAGGGTGTGCAGCAGGGCAGACACCTGGGGAGATGAGCTTAGGTATGGCCCTGTATGATAGAAACTTCCTACAAGTGATGAGGAAAGATCATTTGTGAGCTCCGCCTACCTTCTAGGTATTTCATCACGCTTCTTCCTCACCAGCGCCCTTTGAGATGGGCATTGTTATCCACACCTGACAGCTGGAACTGGGCTTGGACCCAGAGCACACAGCTAGGCATGTTTGAGAGGCAGCTCTGGCCTTCCGAAATTGACTTTATGAAGAGCAAGGACTGGCTTCCACCACAGGATGTCTTAAGTACAACTGATAGAAACCTGTGAGTTCCAGGCCCTCCTGGAGGGCCATGCCTCTGTGAATCCAGAGCTGAATTCGGCAAAAAGGGAGGCCAAGCCGCCCTTACCGAGGCTTCCTAAACCCCTGCCCTCACTACCACCAGCCCCCAGAGCTTCCCTGTTAAGGCATCCCTGCTCTGTAAGTTTTGAAATTAGCTAGATCTGAATTTGAAACACATACCCCTCACATAACAATAGGAGAGCCTTAGGTAACTCACTTACTCTTCCTTGTTCCTCTTCTGAAAATAGGGATATTATAATAAAATGCCTACCTCCCAAAGTTGTCACGAAGATTAAATAAAGCAGTACATTGAAAACACACAAAATAGTGCCTGGCACATACATAGTAAGCACATATTTATGGTAGCTGCTATCATTATACTGACGTTGTCTGGGGAAAATCAGCTCTATGCTGGCTGAACTGTAACTGAGTGGAAAAAAATGGGGATTCAGCTGCCTGTTGCCACAAAAGCAAACTCATGAGGTAGATGCTGGTACAGAAGGAAAGGGGTTTTATTCAGGTGCTGCATGATCTAGGAGAATGGCAGACTCCTGCCCCAAAGCCCATCTCCTTAGCAAGGCCAAGACAAGGCCAGCATCCAGAGTTCCTGCTCCAATTTAAAGTGCAGTCCTTTGGAGCCCACAGGTGGCTGCTAAGTAGTGAGAGTCTCCATCCAGGTAGCTTGGCTTGTTCCCAACTGCTATTTATTTTAGGCTCCCTCCTGGAGCCTGAGTGTGGAGCTTGTATGGTTATGGGCCATGTGGCTGCTGGAGCCAGTCACGTGCTCCCAGGTGAGAGAGAGAGAGAGAGCGAGAGAGAGACTCTCTCCTGGAGGCCATGGATCACATGGCTGCTAAGGCCATGTAGCCTTGAAGAGAACAGGTGAGTACTCGGCTAGTCCAGATAACAAACGACAGAGAGACAGAGAGAGACAGAGACAGAGACAGAGACAGAGAGAGAGAACGAGCCAGCACTTCTTTGTTCCTCTATGATTATATTAGCTTGGGTGTAGGTCAGGCTCAGTGCTTTCTCAAAATGACCAATCAACTTCCCAAACTTTTGCACACTTTAGGTGGGTCAAGCTCCCAACTAATCCCTTCTTTCCCCAGGGTTGACTGACTGTCTCATTGGTCCACCACCTCCTCTTGTGCAGTTTTAACTTCTGTCCCACGTGAGCCTGCCTTCTCCTGGTCCAGCCCTCAATATGGTACCCCAAGAGGGGAAGGGCTTTTTCCTCTATCCAATTGTCTTGCTAGTTTTTTGCCCTCAGGCCCTATCCATTGGTATTTTTAGCTTTCTGCACTCAGTGTAAGAACCTCCCCCACCGCCATCTTAGCCAATGGGGGAGACTCCCCCCTCCCTCCAGACAGACGGTCTGCCCTTAACAGAACCACAGAGATAATGTTCTCAGTGGCAGAGAGCATGTCTCTGAGCACCAGCTACCCACACATCCATACAGGCTGGGCATCATGGCCTGGTTAGCTGACATTTGCTCCTTCCCCTAGCCCCACAGGAAACTACCTGGTAATAACAAGATTTAGCTGGGCTCTGTGTCCCTCCTACAGAAAAAGACTAGTCCATGCACAGGCCAGGGCTTCTGTTCACTGCCCTTCACCCACAAACATGTACAGCTGGTCCCTTCTGTGCTGGGAACTGGGGAGAGAGAAGACCCAGCCCTATCCCAGCAGTTCATAGCACACTTGGGGGAAAGGGCAAGGAACTGCTATTACAGCAAATGGAAAGGAATGAGGGCTGAGCGTCCCTGGGAAGATGAGGAAGGCTCCGAGGAGAAAGAGGTATTTGAACTGGACCTTAAAAATTAGGTAAGACATGGGGGTGGGAGGAAGGCATTCCAGGCTGAAAGCTAGCATGACCAAAGGACGGAAATATGGGGTGTAGGTGTGCTTAGAGAACCGAGGAGCCTGGTAAGGCAAGAGGACTGGGAAGCCAGAGGACTGCGGTGACAGCTGGCAGTGGGGGGGCTGCAAGCCTGAGGGATAGGGAACATAAAATAAAGATCTTGACTACCATGAAGAAAACTGGAGGCAGGGGTGGGCCTGCAATTTAAAATAGGATGGTCACAGAAAGCCTCTTTGAAGTAACATTGAAGACCTTAAGAAGCAAGTCACGTGACTACCTGGGGGAAGTTTTCAGGCAGAGAAAATAGCGGTGCAAAGGTCCTGAGGCCATAGGGTAGTTGCCATGTTGGTAATGCATTAAAAAGGCTAGTGTGACTGGGGTGGTAAGAAGGTGAGAAAGTTAAGAGGAAGCCAGCTCATGAGAGTCCTTGCAAGTCTTTATAGAGGCTTGGGCTTTCACTTGGATGAAATGGAGAGCATCATAGAATTTCTAACATCGTTTCCTGACTTACGTTTTTAAAAAGATGGCTCTGACTGCTGTGTAGAGGATCAACTGCAAGGAGCCAAGGGTAGAAACTGGGAGACCAGCTGGGGGGGCTATTGCCAACAACCAGGCAAAAGAGGACGGTGGCTGGAGATTTCCTCATGTTAAAATGGAGCTCAGGATCCCCGCACTGTGTGCAGCCCAACGCTTAAATAAATATATATACATATACATACATATGTATGTATGTATAGGAACCTCTGGCCAACGGCGTGTCAGCCTGGGGAATGTGGGATTATGGGCAGCCTTTTGTGAGTCCGGCCCCTGCTGCCCAGGAAAAAGCCAAGACAGGTGCGCGCCCCGCACCGCGTCAAGAGGTACAACTGGCTGAGGGGTGTCTTGCTCCCCAGAGACTGAATAGAGAAGGGTAGGAAGGAGGGTGCCCTCTCCCAGCCCTGGCGCGGGTCCGGGGAACCCGGCACTGTGTGCGCCCCGGTATGCAACCTCTCCGCCTGTACAGGTGTGGGAATCTTCTAAGCATCCTGTGGGGAGCGCCACGGACCCCCTCCATGCAAACCTGCCCCCCCACCCCATACCCCTTTGTCTCACTTTCCCCGGATCCCATCTGTCTGCCTGTCCGTCCCCCATAGGTTTCGGTGCGCAAGGCTCCGCCGCGATCCCTCTGGCGGCAGCCCTAGCGGTGCAGCCCCGGCCGAGGGCTCAGGAGAGGAGAAAATCATGAATGAAATGGATGCGGTGCCCCCATTTCCCCCGCCCTCCCTGTCCAAGCAACCTCAGTGTGGGGGCGGTGTCTGCAGGGACTCCGAAAGCCGAATCCGGGAGAAACGGCTCCCGAGATCTGGGTCAAGGATTAAGGGTCTGAGACCCGGCCCCACTCGGGCCCTGGGCGCCGTTGTAGCTCCTCGCTTGCCAGCCCCGCTAGCCCTGCGCAATTCAAGGGAGCGGCGCAAGCCCGCCCGGAGGCGGGGCGGAGCCGGGGCTAGGTTGGGGGTGCCGAATCCACCCCGGCGGCTGCGCCCGCGACTCCGCAGCTGAGGTGCATTTGGTGCGGCGGTCCGGCGAAGGAGCGCGCACGGAGCACGGGACGGAGCGTCGGGAGGACAGACCGACGGACGGACGCCCCCGCACACGCAGACGCACAGAGCTCGGCGCGGCCCCCGTCACACACACGGACACACTCGCGCAGACACTTACAGGGACACACGCAGATACACGCACACTCGCGCGCGCATATCCTCCCGCCAGCCAGCCCGCCCGCCCGCTCGCCGGCGCCCGGAGCCCGCTCTGGCCGGTAAGTGTGCCGTTTCCTCGGCGCCTTTGTGTGGGGAACCGGAAGGCGGAGGGCGCGGGGCCCTTCCCCGGGCAGCCTCGCGACTGAGACCTCCTCTAGCCCCTAGGACAGCAAAGCCGGCGCCCGCCCCCGCCACGCCCCCATGGGGCTCCCGGCGCCCCCGGACTGGGGGAGGGGTCCCCACCCAAGGAAGGAGGCCGGGCGCTGGGGAGCGCGCTAGGAGCAGCTACCACTCCCTACGGAGCTCGGACACGGTTTCGGGGAGGGACCGGCTTAATGGTCCCGGGTCCGAGCCTCTGCAGCCGAGGCTGGTGCGCTGCTGTTGGCCGCATCGCCTCTCCAGGGGCTGCAGCTCCATGGGGAGACTGGAAAACGCCGCTAGCCTGTTGGCTTGTAAACTGCGGCTCCAGGCTCCCAGCCATCCCCTCGCTTCGCCACCCCCGGACCTTGTAGCTTAAACCACCCACTTCCCACCACCCCCGAAATAAAATGCCAGTGCGTTTCCCTCCCCCACCATACCCCTTTTTCCTAGATGAGGCCCAGGCTCCTGCAAAACGTGCAGATTACCTGGGTCAGAGCCCTGAAGGGCCACCTCACCAAGGATCATGTGGCTTAGAGGCTCAGGACCAAATGAACCTTTGGAACTCATTTAACCCCCTGATTTTACAGATGGGGAAACTGAGGCCCAGTGAGATGGTTTGAGCAAGGTCACCAGAGAGTTAGTGGCAACGCCTGCGTTAGAATCTAGGGTCCCTGGCTTTCGAACTCATTCCCCTCTATCCAGTTTGATCCTATTCCCATTGAAGCCCCAGAACCCCAAAATTCATCTAAGTGTACCAAGAAAGTCTTTGTAATTCCTGCCCCGCCCCGACTTGGAGCATCAAATACCATTCATTTGCTACCATCCTTACTGGGGTGGGGTGTGGTGGGGCGGGCGGGGGCTGGGGGAGATTAGCCCTTAATTTGCCTCATTTGGCCTCAGAGGAGAGCTATTTTATGCAAGCACTCCAGGTTTAGGATTTAGTTTGGGAGAATGAATCAGTCCTGGAGGGGAAATCGGTTACCAGGATGTTCATCCTGGTTCTCCCAGGAGTCACTAAGCCTGTGTCCTCAGTCGGACCAGGTGATGCAGCATCTGAGGAGTCGTCCCCTCCCCCACCTGGACCTGCCTGCGTGCCTTCCCAATCCCTCTTCCCTCCTCTGTAAAGGCCTGGGTCTTCAATCCAACCAGGACCCTTTCATCATCCCTTCGTGGAGGTCCTCAGGTCCTTCCTGTCTATTGAGTGTTGCTGGCAAAGCTGCGGGGAAAGCCTGAGTTGCAGCCTTAGGAGGTTCTGGTGGCAGTTCAGGGCAAGGCTCCCTCAAGGACAGCAGGGTGTCCCCAGAGCTGGCACAGAGAGGGTGCCCTGAGAGATAAGGTGATGGAGTGCAAGCTGGATGGTGGCTGGATAAAGTCAGTCATCTCTGAGGAGGCTCCATGGGATGGCAAGGTGTGCCATGTTCATTCTCTAGGGACCTGAGGCTCTGGTCTCAAGAGCTTCCTCCTCGAGTGGGATGGGCAGCCTGGCATGCAGGCATCAGGGCCAGGGCGACCCAGTGACGGAACTCCAGGACCCACCGTTGATCTAGTGGCCCATCTCAATGGCATTGTGCTCCAGAAGCACAATTTGCATAGACTTCATGATGAGTCGTGGCCCCTGGGTTTTTGCAATGAAGTGGCTCCCACCCTGAGAGGGAAGAGATCCGGGTTCCAGGCCCAGTGTCCTCCTCACTGGCCGGACAGTTTCAGTAACTGCTCATGACCTCTCTGGGTCGCAGTTCTTCCATCCAAAAAACACAACATCATTTGATTGAAGAGCTTCAAGATATCTTTCAAGTCTGAACTGTTCGGGGGTGGGGGGAGCACTTATTTATATAACTGCCGTGGGCCTGATTTTCCTCTTCTGTTACTCTGTGAAGGAATAAAATGAGATGAGATCATTTATGTAGGGTATTTAGCACAGTGCCTGGGGCATAGAAAAAGCTCAGAAATCAGTAGCTTTAGGGCCGCAGCTTTATGGCTATACCCTCCACTTCTTCCCTTTTTCAGATTGCCCAAGCACATGAGATTTTAGGGCCTCAAAGTCCCTCTACCTCAAAATCCCGTCCCCACTGACCTTTCCCAGATGCAGGGCTCAGCCAGCGTAAGTAAGTCGTTCACGCAGCCTCCCTGGGAGAAGCCTCACTTTGTGTATCAGGTATGTCACACCTAAGTGTGATCGAATGTATTAATTTATATAGTGTCAAAGATTTCCTAACACTCTGTCAGTTACTCCTCATCACACACACGAGACCCACTGTATTACTGTTGCCATTTTATAGATGGCGAAGTTAAGGCTCCCTTCAACTTACCTGCAGGGGTGTAGCGTAAAAGTCTCAGAGCCAGCGAGCTGTGCCTCCTGCTCAAATCATCTGACTCCGGATTCTGAACTCTTTCCCTCATGTTACATTGCCTGTCCTTTTCCAAGACCTGCCCTGAAGGAGAGACTGATAACCCCTTGGAAAGAGTTGAGAAGAAGGAGGGGTTTTATTCTTCTGGAAGACCAAGAGTGGCTTCTTGGAGAAGCCTGGTGGCATTTGAGTTGGGTCTAAATGATTTGTACCAAAGAAGAAAAGCGCGGGCCTGGCTGGTGTGGCTCAGTGGACTGAGTGCTGGCCTGCCAACCAGAGGGTCACTGATTCGATTCCCAGTCAGGGCACATGCCTGGGTTGCAGACCGGGTCCCCAGGATAGGGCGCACGAGAGGCAACCACACAGTGATGTTTCTCTCCCTCTCTTTCTCCCTCCCTCCCCTCTCTAAAAATAAATAAATAAAATCTTTAAAAAAAAGAAAAGAAAAGAGGGTAAATATTGCAAATAATAGAAACAGCATGAGCAGAGAATAGGCAGTTTGGGTGCGGGGGGGCGCGTTCTAAGGCATGTACAGGAACTGGAAAGCAGTTCATTCTGATCGGTGCAAAAAGGTTAAAAAAAGGAGCCGTGAGGACGGCCGGGTGGGGAGGTGGAGGCTGTTGCTGGGGGCATTGGGTGCCAAGCCAAGGGACTGGTCTTTTGTTTTTGAGTATGGGAGAGACATGATCAAATCCAGCCATTAGGAACCTCACTGTGAGTGCCCCCTTCCCCAGCAAAAACAGATTGGTAGGAGAGAACCCGCTTGCAGGCAGCCCAGGGAGGAAACAGCGGCAGTCGTCACGGTGAGAGAGAAAGAGGGTCTGGACTGGGGGTGGTTGTAAGAATGAAAGGAGAAAGGAGTTGATGCAGGAGGCTACAGTGTCACCAGACTTGGCAGCTAATTGGGTATGTACACTGGAGGGAAGGAGGAATGAGGAGTGATGACAAGGTTTTGATCCTGCGGAGCTAAGGATGCCATTCGCAGAAAGCCCAATCGGGAAGAGTCGGGAGGCTTCGGAGTGGAGGCCATGGGTCTGACAGGGAACCATAAAAACTCCTGCAAAGCTGGCTCACCGAGTACCCCAGACTGTTAAGGGCTGGTTCGTTCATTCATTCTTTCATTCTCCAAATGCATATAAACATCTGTTACATGCCAGGTTGCTCTAGGCTCGAGGGACACATTGCTGGAAAAGATGAACTTCCTGCGTAAGCTCTACCAAGGTAGACAGAAAATAAAATATAAGCAAAGATGCAACATTTCAAGGGGGCAAGCAGTGCTCGGGGGATAAAAGTTAAGCAGGGTGAGGAGTGACGGGAGGACAAGAGTGGAGAAAGAGGTTGGCCTTTAAATAGACTTGTCTTTAAGGAGGTGATATCTGGACAAAGACCTGAATGAAGTGAGGAGGAGACCGTAGGGAATGAAGGCATTCTAGGAAGAGACCACAAAAGTGGCCTTTAAGGCTGCCTGCAGCTCTTGTTACTCCCACATCCCAGAGGAAGACACTGAGGCTTTGAGAGGTTCAGATACCAGCCTGAGGCCCAGGCGGAGGGTGGGGGGGCGGGGGCGGGGGGGCGGGTAGTGGCAGAGCATAGCTTTCAGCCAGTTCTCTCTGCTTCCACATCCGTCCTTTTTCCAGAAGACCATGGTTGCCTTAAGGTGTGAGACCTCAAAATGGCCAGCCTGTCATGTTTTGAGGGATTCTCCCCATGACTGAGGACCTCTGGTGACAGCCCGCCCTGGGCCCCAGGTTTCCAACTGTCCGTTGACACAAGGCAGTGAGAGACTCCATCATCCCCGGGCCAGGACCAGGCTCCATCCTGTCTTCCCCAGTGGACACCTGAGCAGGACCAGAGTGACCACCTTCCTTCTGTCATGCCAGCCCGTAGCCCTTCCGAGTGCCCGTTAGCTCCTGCACCGAGTGGAGTAATGCTCTCTTCTTCATAAGGTCGTCACAAGGGTCTAATGAAGTAAGGGACTGGAAAGTACATGGCACATAGTGGGTATGCAGCTCAGATTTACTCTATCTGAATTCAGACCTTTTTCAGCCTTGACTACTGCTCCCATCTGGGATTTTTTTGTCTTTCCCATTTTATTTGACTTCCTGGATACCATTCTTCTCTCCCCTGACAAAGGAGCCTCTGCCAGGCCCTGCGTCTGAATCGGTTTGCCTCAGTCTTCCACCAAAACCAGAAGTGCCAGGATCTCTCGAGCCTGTGGCACCACAGCTCAGCGGGGCCTGAGCACAGAAGAGTTAAATCAGAGACTGAGGGAGGGGCCCTGACAGCAGACTAGACCCCTCTGTGGGGCGTGGCAGGAGCTGGGGGCCTCCCTAGCTGTAGGTGCGAGCAAACCAAGCTCTGAACTCCAGCTTTCCCCTCTGTGAGTGCTACAAGCCCCAGGAGAAGTGGTTTTGTAAGCAGTGAAGCTCAGAGCAGATGTCAAAAGGGATCATCGTGAATGATCCAGAGCAAGGCACAGGTGGCCCTGGCAGTCCAGGCCAAGGCTCAGCATCAGGGACATCTAGGAGGGAAACCAGGGGCAAGTAGAGACCAGAGCACAAAATCATTTG